GCTCCCCGGTGTCAGCTCCCGCGCTGTCTCCTGTGGTCTCCTCTGGACCCTGAGGGCCGCTCACCTCCAATGGCACCTCTCATCCGGGAATGGACATGGGAAAGAGGAGGGGCCCTACCCCCAGCTTCTGCGCCTGTGCACCCTCTCAGGGGACGGTTGTCGTTACTCTGAGCAGGATGGCCGGTGGGAAACCCACGGATTCCCTGTTTCTACCGGCGACTCCTTTGGAGACTCCAGTGACCTGCACTGGGGACAGGAGAGCCTGGAGGGACATAAAGGCAAAGCCCTGACACAGGCGCTTAGAGCTCATTTTCCCGTCCTCTCTGAGGGAGAGGGAATGAGGCTGGTCGGTGGGGCAGAAACAGGGCGAGGGGCAGCAGAAGAATGGGATGGAGGAGGGGTTAAACCTGGGGAGCACTGGCCACCGCTTCCAGTCCTGCACCCTCCCTCCCCCAGCCTGCAATGTCTGGTCACCAAGACAATACATGGTGGGTGTCACTTAGCTGGTGGCATTGTCGTGCTCTGGTGAGGTGGCTTTTTAAAATACATTTTTATTGATTTCAGAGAGTAATGAAGAGGGAGGGAAAGATAGAGACTTCAATGCTGAGAGAGAGGTCTTGATCACCTGCCTCCTGCACATCCCACACTGGGGATCAACCCTGCCACCTGGGCATGTGCCCCCAACGGGAATCAAACCATGACCTCCTGGTTCATAGGCCGACGCTCAACCACTGAGCCACGTGGGCCGGGCAGGCTGTTTCTTTGAGAGCCTGGTGGCCACGCATCCCGTGTGAGTTCTGAGTCCTGGTGTCACAGGGCAGTGGACGAGGTGGGCATCGCAAATTCACTCCTGTTCGATGTAGCTGCTAAGACTGTGATTTTAAACGTGCTCCCTCCTCACTGCAGAAAATGTGCAAGATCAGGTAAGTAAAAGCTATAGTCCAACCAGCAGACAATATACTAGCCTGTAACTTAACAGTAAGTCAGGGCGTTTGCCCTGTCATTCCTACAGAAACACTCATTGTAGAGTGCAAGGACAATTTCAATTTGCCAGTACCACTGGGAGAAGCGTGTACATGAGCCTCAATTTAAACCTGAAACAAGGGTTCAATGAGGGCCCCCAGCCACGTGCAGATCTGGGGAGGGTGGCGGATGGCTGGGGACAGCTGTCCTCATGGGAGTACGACTGGCTGAGGCCAGACAGGTTGTTGGGGTGTTTTGTGTGTTTTTCTCCTTCTCACAGCACCATCAGCCTCCAGGGAGCGTCAGCTGAGTCCACAAATACAATACTGAATGGAAGAAGTCACATCTCAAAGGAGTCATGTTGTTTGATTCCACTTCTATGAAGTGCAAAGTCAGGCAAAAACCAACCTGTGGTAATAGAAGTGCTAACACGGGTTCCCTGTGGAGGAGGGGCAGCTGGGAGGGGACAGGAGGGACTCCCCATCTGGGGTTCTGGACATCGCCCGCCTCAGTCTGGGTGATGTTATACCACCTGGAGACCTAGGACCTTGCACTCAACTGTAAGTTATACCCCAATGACACAGTGAACGAACAAAGGAGCGCTACACAGCTTACACTTTCAAGAAAGAAACGTTTTCCCAAAGGGCATAGAGCATCATGTCCCAAATGAACTCACAGATGAAAAGGCAAATCAGATCCAGGCAGGTTCACCAGGATTGCTCTTGGCTTTGTTGTTGTTTTCACGAGAAAAGAAGTTTAACATCTTAAACCATTTAAATCCACATGAGAGTTTAGAAGTGGTCGAAAGTGAAACCCGGGAAGAAGAAATGAGGAAGTGAAACAGTCCTTGAAACAGAACCACTAGAAGAGCTGTGTCAGCGACACTCATGGAGCGTGTGGTATGAGCCAGGGACTACACAGCACCTGCAGGTGAGTGTGATTGGGAGCCTCGCTGATGACGAAGGTGGAGTTACCATTCGAGGGGGCAAGGCAGCATCAATTCTGTTGATGTTGGCAACTGGACGAGATGTGTCATCTCCATGGGGAAGCGAGATTGACTCCTCTCCTGCTCCACTGCTCCCTTCGGACTCTCTCAGCCCCAGCTAATGACCCCCCCTGCCTCAGCAGAAAGGACCCCTCACTTTCACCTCTACATCTAGAAACCTGCCTCCTTTTGTACTCACCTTCCTTCCTTCCTCCCTTCCTTCCTTCCTTCCTTCCTTCCTTCCTTCCTTCCTTCCTTCCTTCCTTCCTTCCACACACATCTTACTGAGCTCCTCTGTACCAGGTGGTATTCGTCCCATGGTTTTCCTCCTGCTTCTGCTCACCCCTGGCTCCTCCTCTCCTCCTGGGTCTGGGTTCCACTCTGACCACCACCACCTCCCTAGGAGACAGCTGCCCTCAGGCGGCTCCTGGGCACCCCTGGGTTCCCCTGTGACCCCCACCACCTCCCTAGGAGGCAGCCGCCTTCCTCCCACCATCCCCCAGGGCACACAGCCCTGTGCCTCTAGCCTGCTGCTCCCCTGAGCTCCACGCTTGGACGCCAGCTTCCTAGGAGACAGCTGCCCTCAGGCGGCTCCTGGGCACCGCACACTCACCTTCCAGAATGGAGCTTCTTATGGGATATTCTCCCCAAGAAACTAATTTTTCTCAGATTTCCCCAACTGCAGAAAGGGCACTGCCGTTTACCCCTGAGCAGTGAGCTTCAGCCCAAACCCAAGACTTACCTTGATTCCTCTTTCTCATAATATCCAATTCATAACCAAGTCCTTCCAGTCGATGTGACTTCCAAGCCCCCTCCCATCCACCCATTAGTCTCCATCCCCACTGCCTCCCCCATCGCCTCTCGCTGGAGGATGGGAGAAGCTTCCGGCTTCCACTCATCCCTCATTCAATGTCCACATCAGGTCTTGTGCTTATTTTTAAATCTAAGCTCCTGCCTATGACCGAGCCCCCACCACCTCCTGCTCCCGCCCTGTGCTTCCAGGCACAATTCTCCTCTCGGCCTCCCTCCTGCCTCAGGGCCCTGGCACTTGGGTTGGCTCAGTCCAAGGTTCTCCCAGGCTAACCTTTCTCATTCTTCCTGTCTCAGAACAGAAGTCACCTGCTCTGAACACCCTATTTAAAATTGCTGCCGCCGCCCATCAGTCTCGATGGGGGCATCCTGTTTAATCCCTCCCAGCAATCACCTTGATCCGAAGTTATCGTCCCCACCCCCATCGTTTCTTATTTCCTTTCTGTCTCCCTCCACCACAACATGATCCCCTGGAGGTGCGGAGCCCCCTGCACCTTACTCATATTTGTGCCCCCTGTCCTTGGAGCAAGCCTCCACATAGTAGGTGCTCAATTAATATTACTCAAGATCTGAACAATTTAAGAGATGGGGAAGTACTTTGTGTTCAAAGTATTTCTTTCCCTGCAGAAGAAGGAGATAAGGGAAGGGTGGGGCAGGGATGGTGCTGAGAGAGAGACTATACACTTTCCCATGAGATACCTCTGTATTGTGTGACTTGTTTCATTAGGCAAATACTTCCTGAATTGTTGAACACCAATCAGGTCACTGCAGGAGAGGTTTCCAGGCGGACAAAGGCAGGGAGAGGCAGGTTCAGGCTGCCAGGGCCAACGCCCAGGGGGTTATCAAACACCAGCTGGGAGACGGAACCCTGGCTCAGAGCCCTACGAGGGAAAGTGGCCACCGAAGCATCGCTTCACCCGGGGACGCAGCCAGCCCCCCTCCCAGGCCGGGGCCCATGGAGAAGCAGAACAGCACAAGGAAGGAACCTGGCGAGGCCGTGGGAGATGGGCCCCTGGAAACGGAGCCCAAATGATGACAAGTCAGGGGAGTCAGCCGTCCCAGCCAAGGCTCCTCAGTGAGTGAGCCCAGAGTTGAGTCTGGCCTCCGCAGAGCATTTCCACATCAGCAAGTCCGAGCGGGGCCCCCGAGGGCCTGGCCCCTGTGTGGGGAGACGCAGGGCGCAGGATGCTGCAGGGAAGAGAAGCTGGGGTCATGGAGGGGTGTGTGGCCCACGCATTCCTGTCTGGGCGAGTGCTGGTGATGAGGAAGGGAACCGGTCCTGTCCCCAGGGACCCTGGGAAGATCTGAACTCGAGATACTCTGTGTGTTTTGTGAACTTTTACATCCATGTTGGCGCCCTTTCAGTTCATCTCCAGGTGACATTCTAAAAGGTGGGGGCACTCAAGGGCTGCTCTGATAACCGGGTACAGAATTCAAAGGAGAACACCCTTCCTTGTGGCAGTGACCGGAAATACCGCAGGCCCAGGAGCAAAAGCAAAGGCAAGACCAGCAGGTGTGGCAACCCATGCAGAACAGAACCCGGGTGATGCACGAAGCCCAGGCCAGGAGCCTGCAGGGTTGGGGCTCAGAGAAGCACATTTGGGGGTCT